AAGGGGGGAGGGGCAGGGGGAAGGGCCGCTGGTGACTCTCCACGAGAGGTGGCACTCACTGACTGCAGGGAGGTCCCTCCTGGTGAGAATTCTCCTTGTGGAAAGGGCATTTGCCCGTGTTCACGGTGTCCCTGCGCATCTCCCGTGGCTCTGGGAACCGCTCTGCCGCTGTCCAGATGAGCAGAGAGGGGCTTTCTGTCCCCAGGACGCCCTCCTGTTCTCGAAGTGGCGCCTCGTTTCTAGCCGCTAGGGGCCCTGCTGCTGGGGTAGGAGTGTCCTGGGGTGGTAGGATTGCCAGGTCTCAGCTCGGGCTGTCAGGGCTTCTCTCCAGTGCAGGCCACCAGGGTGGGCTTCCAAGGTCAGAATCTAGGAAATGAACTGAAGGGTGCAAGCTCAGTGGCCACCCCTGGAGCCCCTTGTCCTCCCTCTGGAGGGAAGGGCTGCTCGGCCCTTGGGGACCCCTGGCAGGTCTGATCAGGAGAAGTGTTCTCTGCCGGCCGCTGCCAAGTGGCAGGAATTCACCTGATGTATAGAACAGATGGTCCTCAGGAGGGTTGTGGGTGTCAGGCAGAGGGTTGTGGTCTATGGTGAATGGGGAGCCATGGGAAGTTCTTGAGCTGGAGAGGAACATGAGCAGATTCCTGTCTTAGGTCCTTAGAGATGGGGCTGGTGGGGAAAGAGGGGAGCTAGTGGCTGCGTGAGGGGTCTCGGGCAGGGCCCAGGGCAAGGTGGGAGACTTGGTGGGGGGAGGAGCGGTATGAGGGTGGAAGCAGCCTGGGAAGACCCCCACCGGCCTTGGTGAAGGGAGGAAGGGAGACTGGAGGCTGGGTGCTCCTCACCCTCAGCTCTGGGGCTTCCTGCAGGCCTGGGCGGCCCTGACAGAGCAGGATGTGGTGCCCGCCACAGCTGCTTCATGAATGGACCGGAGGCTGCTGACTCAGCAGGCCGTGAGGCCCTGAGGCCGCCAGATTTTGGCAGAAGTGTCTGGAAAGGAAGTGGCCGCTCAGGGTTTCCCCCGCTGTGGACAGCTGGGGGTAGAGGGCGGATGCACCAGCTTGGCTGGGGGACTCCCTGGAGGGGGTGTGTGCGGGGCGGGGCTTGGCCAGGCCATGGTGGAGGCTGTCCTGAGGTTTGCTCCATGGAGACCCGGAGGCACCAGGTAGGACTGAACTCCTCTCAGCTGTGTTCCCCAGCTGGTTATATGACATTTACTGAATCACTTATCTGTGTGTCAGCTTTCTTCTCCTGCAAAAAATAGGTCTAGCCATGCAGCCGTCTCCAGGGTGTGGGGAGGACGTGACATCGTTTCTATTCTTGTTGGCTGGCAGAGGGGGACCTGGGCCCATGACGGGGGCGGGGGCAGGACGTGGCCTGAAGGTTGGGGAGGCAGCCTGGGAGGAGGGTGTGCAGCCTTCCCGGGCCAGGCGTTTTGGCGGAGGCTGGATCCCAGCAGGGCCGGCCCCAGGAAGTCCAGCCCCGCCTGGCTCAGGCCTGACCTGTGGCCCCAGACCTTACTCTTACTCGGCCCTGACCCCAGTCTCCAGGTCAGCCCTGGTCCTGGCCTCTTCCACTCTGGTCCGTCTTGGTCGGTCCGTACAGCTGTGTTACACTGGCACTGTCCCCTTGCGAGGCCCACACTTGGACACCCAGCCGTCCCTGAGAACCCTGCCCTAGGAGTTTCTTTGCCAATGCCGCCAACATCATGGGTCCTGTCTTGAACCTTCCGGGCTCTCGGTCTCAGTGAATGCCCTGCCCGGTCACTGAGTCTCAAACCCAAGGACGCCCTGACCACTCCCGTTGTCTCTCCACATCCCCAAATGCTGTCCTTTCACCCAGACCTGTGTGTCCCTCCTGTTGAACCCTTTATGCATCCCGCAGGTGCTGTCAGAGTCATCTTCAGGAAGCTCAGCTTTGACCATGTCATTTTCCCCCACCCAAGAACCTTCTGTGTGCCAGGCACGGTGGCTCACACCTGTAATCCCAGCACTTTGGGAGGTGGAGGCGAGAGGATTGCCTGAGCCTAGGGGTTCAAGACCAGGCTGGATAACTTGGCAAGGCCTCGTCTCTACAATAAATCAAAAAATAAGCTAGCATGGGGCACGTGCCTGTGATTCCAGCTACTTGGAAGGCTGAGGCAAAGGATCGCCTGAGCCCAACAGGTCGAGGCTATGGTGGCCAAGAGCATGCCTCTGCACTCCAGCCTGGGCGACAGAGTGAGACTCTGACTCAAATAAAAACCAAAAGAAAACAAAACAAAAAGCCTCTGGTGGCTCCCAGCTGCCTTTGTGATAAAGCTCACGGTTCTGGCTCCAGCCTGAGCCCCTGCTTTCCCCTACCAATTGACTGACTGCTGGATTGACCTGCATACGCCCTTGCCCTAGAGCGGGCGGCCTTGACAGCACCTGCCTCCTCTACCTCTGTTTAGCTACTAACATCTCAGGGTTGAAAGGGTAGACCCTGCTGCCCCTTGTCCTATCTCCCCAGGGAGCCCAGGAGGCACAGGAAGGAGGTGAGGTGGGAGAGAGCAAGGGGATGACCTTGGAGATGAATCCCTCCCTTCCTCAACCTCCCAGGCAGGGACAGCCTTCCACCACGGAGAGCCCAGCTGTCAGCCGCTGCACAGGGAGATGCTGCCACCTCGACCAGGACCTCGGGGCAGCCCTGGCACGGGCGTGCCTATGGGCACAGCCCTGGGAGTGCTGTGGCTGTGCCTCACAGGTGAGGGGGACTCGGGGGAGGGGTGTGATAGGGTGGTGGGGGAGGGCATGCCTCTGGCTGGTAGAGCACACACTCAATTCCACCTCTGGATCCAACAGGCGACTCACTTGACTTTCTCAACCTCCACATCCTCATCTGTAAAATGGGCATGGGTGCATTCCACAGGAGCATGTTGTTCATTTTATTTTATTTTTTCTTGAGTCGGGGTCTCATGCTATACCCAGGCTGGAGTGCAGTGGCACAATCACAGCTCACTGCAGCCTCGACCTCCTGGGCTCAGATGATCCTTCCGCCTCAGCTTCCAAAGTAGCTGAAGCTACCAGCATGCAAAGGCTAGTTTTTTTATTTTTTATTCTTTTTGGTAGAGTGAAGTCTTACTATGTTGCCCAGGCTAGCCTCAAACTCCTGACTCAAGCAATCCTCCCGCCTTGGCCTCCTAAGGTACTGGGATTATAGGTGTGAGTCACCATGCTCAATTGAGAATGCTATTTATTGGACACACCGTGTGCTCCTTCCTAGGGCCTTTTGCACATACAGTTTTCTCTGCCTGGAACGTTCTGTCCCCAGACTCCATCCCTCATGTCATTCAGGTCTTTGCTCAAGGACACCTCAGCACGGCTTTCCCAGCTGCCTCATCTGAGACAGCACACCATGCTTCATCTCACCTTGTTTGCAGCCTTCCGGCATTCTTCCTTGTGTCTGCCTCTCCCTGACACATTGTACGGTTGCTTCCTTGTCACCTGCTGCCCTCCGTTCAAAGAGCAGGCCCTAACCCCAGGACCAGGAAGGGGGCAAGGTGCTCCATCACTGTGTGGAATAAGTGGTGTGAACACTTAGCGATGTACAGTGGGGCTGGCTGGGAGGGTGTGTCTCAGCTAGATCAAGGAGGGCTTTGATGGGCCAGGTGGGGAATGTAGGTTCTTCTGTGAACAGTGGGAAACCACTGGAGAGTGTTTTAATCTGGCATAAACGGGGTAACAAGGCTTAAAACTCAATCTAGCCCCTCTGCGGAGAGTGGATTGTGGATGGGTCGGAGGGAGGCCAGTTAGGAAGCTATTTCATCCGTCCCTGTAAGTATTGATGGTGGAGGCTGAACACAGTACTTGGTACGTTGTAAGTGCTCAATAACAGTAGCTACTTTAATAATAATATCTGTATCACTGAACAAAGTCTAATGGCATCTTCACGGGAGAGACGGCTTCCTCCATGGTGAAGACACAGCCGGGTGTCCGGCGCCATCTGGCGTTCATAGGGAAGTGATGCGCATCTTGAGGGATGGCTGCTCTGTCTGGGTGACTTCTCGGGTTTCATGCCCTTAATGCTCCCTACACGGGGCGCCCTGGTCCAGCTGGCAGGGGATGAGAACTGGTTCTGGACACCTGGAGTTGCAGCAAGAGCTCTGGGGTCAGCTAAAGACCTTTAGACATCTCCATGTACTGCGGAAAGATTATGATCCCTTCTCACTATGTGCCATTCGCAAGAAAAATACTAGCCAGAGAGCAAAGGTTATTTTCCTAAATGCAAGAAACCCTTACAGGGTGCTGCATTCAGTGAGCTTTGTTTCAAGATGGGTCAATCATCATACACTTCAGTGTGTCTGCTCTGCTGGTGCCCAAAGCACACACTAAATCTAGCCACTGCCCAGGACTGACAGTGCCAGGGTGGGGGCTCACCTCCCCAAAAGAAAGATTATCAGGATCTACTGCTTAACTTTTTTTTTTTTTGAGTTGGGATCTCACCCTGTTGCCCAGGCTGGAGTACAGTGGCACACTCACAGCCACTGCAGCCTTGACCTGCTCTGCTCAGATGATCCTTCTGCCTCAGCCTCCCAAGTAGCTGGAATTACAGGCGCACACCACCACGCCTGGCTAATTTTTTGATTTATTGTAGAGATGAGGTCTTGCCAAGTTGCCCAAGCTGTTGCTTCTACCTCCTAAATAAACCTTGAAGCTGGCTGAGCTCGGTAGCTCAGCCTGTAATTCCAGCACTTTGGGAGGCCGAGGCGAGTGGATTGCCTGA